TGTATGCAGGCGCGGATCCAGAGTTCATCATGACTATTGCACAGTTGGGGTCCCCGGTACGGATTCAATGGTGAGAAGAAAAGGGCGGGGTCGTGAGCGAAGAGAGCTTAATTTGTGGTTGTTCTGTAAAATGGAAAACAAATGTTGGATGAATATATCCAACATCTGGTTTTAATTTAGGCAAAATATTTTATAGCAAACGAATATCATCGCAGAAAAGCTATGTAGTTATGTAATTCACTTAAGTTAATAATATATCACGTACAATCCAAAAAGTCTGAGCAAAACAATATACAAATATATACATATACAGGTATATACACATATATACATATATATACATATATATATATGTATATACATATATATATGTATATATATATATAAAGTTGTTGTCTGATATACACATATTATTGCTGTTTATCAAAAGCTGTTTGAACCTGTAACTTTGACCAATATTAACCGTAAGAAACTCGAACATCAGACCACTAATTAATAATACCAACAATATCATTAATCCTGATGATATGAATACGCATAAAATAATGAGTAAAGAATATATAAATATATACTGACTTGTGATTCCAACGGCACATACTTCATCTCCAGTGTGTGGCTGGAATGGTCTCCTGTAATATTATTTGCCTTAAAAACCGAAAAATCAGAATCTCCTAAAGATGCGGATTCCCAGATAACATATGGGTCCGTCTGCTGAGGAAATGTACATGTGCAGATTGCTGTTGTACAGATTATGTTCGTAGGCTCAGATGGTGTTTCCTGTGTTGTTATAACTAATCGGAACATAATATTATTAATGATAACAATAATCAGATATTTAAAAAAATATTATAATAATATGAGGATAATAATACAGTAATGTTGATAATAATATAATGATGATGATAATATAATCATAATAGTAATAAGAATTCTCACCTGTTGTAGTTTTAGGCTGTGTACTCGTAGTACTAGGCTGTGTCGTAGTATCTATTATTTTATAATAATAATGATAGTAATAATAATGTAATGATAATAATATAGGCCTAACGATAATAGTAATGGGAATTCTCACCGTTTGGAGTTCTAGGCTGTGTAGTTGTAGTACAGGCTGTGCTGTATTAGCTATTATTTAATAATGTAATGATGATAATAATAATAAAATATTAATAATATAATGATAATAATAATATAGTAATACAATGATAATAATAATAAGAGTTCTCACAATCTGGAGTTCCACTTTGTGTAGTAACAGTCGGTGTCGTAGTACCTACTATTTTATAATAATAATAATAATAATAATAATAATAATAATAATAATAATAATAATAATAATATAATAATAATAATAATATAGTGATAATAATGTAATGATTATAATAATAGGCCTATAATGATTATAATATAATAATACAATGATAATAGTAATTAGAGTTCTTACTATTTGGAGTTCCAGCCTGCGTAGTAACTTTCGGTGTCGTAGTGTCTATTATTTTATGATAATAACAATAACAATAATATGATAATAATAATACAGTAATAATAATTATAATAATAATATTACTAATAATAATAATAATAATAATATAATGATAATGATAATACAGAATAGAATGATAATAATAGTACTAACGATAATAATAATGAAAATAATAATAATAATAATAATATAACGATAATAATATAATAATACAATGATAATATTAATAAGAGTTCTCACCAACTGGAGTTGTAATCTGTGTAGTAACAGGCTGTGTCGTAGTTCCTATTATTTTATAATAATAATAATTATAATGAATAATATCAACAGGTTGTGTCGTAGTACCATTTTTATAATAATAATAATAATAATAATAATAATAATAATAATAATAATAATAATAATAATAATAATAATAATAATAATAATAATAATAATAATAATACAGTAATGATAATAATAATATAATGATAATAATAAAAATAAGAATAATGTGTTTTGGAATTGACAACCATAAAAATAATCATGCAATTAATAAATAATAGTTATTACAAAACTATACATTTAAAACTGTAAAGTTAATGGACAAAAACCGCACATAAATCCCTTAAAATCAGTATATGAGAAGCATAAACAAATTGAACAATACATTGCATTCAAAAATAGTTAGCATTGCAGAACAAGGTAGATAGTCCTATATACTGAACTTTTTTTATATTATGCATTTTGTAGAATTATGAATCATCAATCATTTTGTTTCTTGAATAGCCATTTATGTATGGTAACTATCCATAGTTGCTTAATTTTTCTTTGGTTTTTTATAGCAATGTAACCTTGCTATGTAATTTGTTTTGTTTTATGAAATATACCAGAAATAATAAAATAATAAAAAAAAAAAGAATAATGTTTTTTCCGTCCATATTCCTTTTTATTTCGTTCTGATACATATCATATACATTAGAATGTCACATTCTACTAATATATTAAGTAACACATTTCCTATCGGAACATTATATTGTTTTTTTAAGCGTCTTTAATAAAACATTCAATATATTTGATAAATAGCTGTTCCTTATTTTCATTTTGCAAGATTAACTTTTACACTGCTAAAAGAAATCGAAATTTACAGGCAAATTCCTCGCTTGAAGGGAGCTTATCTTTCAACTTACATGAAAAAATATAGTGTTTGGCATTGAAAATTAGGAAATTAATCGGATTCTTCACACCATTATATTGGCGAAAAAATATGTCATGTTCCAGGAATTCAGGGTTTTCCATAATAATGTGTCGTAGTACGTATAATATTTTATAATAATAGTAATAATAATAATAATAATAATAATAAAAATAATAATAATAATAATAATAATAACAATAACAATAATAACGTGTCTCTAAACAGACGTGAATATCAAAGTAAATATTCTTTTCCAATCCCATTCCACTGTGGGATATTGTTGTTACAGCAACAACAAAAGCAACAGCACCAGAAACATCAACATCACCAGCAGCAGTAGCAGCAACAGCAACAGCACCAGCAACAGCACCAGCAACAACAGAAACAGCAACAGTTGTTATCCAATCCGTTAATTTATGCGTTCTTAACCAGTCCGTTGTCGAATTCGTCCAATCTGTTGTTGAACTATAATTTGTTGGATTCGTTGTTTCAATATAATTTTACGTCGTAGTTATAGCCACAGTGGAATAGGTAGATCCTATTTTGTTGGATACAGTTACAACTTGTGTTAGTTGTGTTTTATCTGTAGCATTAATCGTGTTGAACTTGGTTTCCATACAATCACTACCAGCTATCGCTTTCGGGATGTTGATTGGTCGGTCGAATCGGGTAGGAGTCTGCTATGCAGTAGGCCTACACAGTGGCGGCGTCAGCAGGGGACAGGGGGCTTAAGTCCCCACCGGAC